ATTGTTGATGATGTTGNNNNGTTGAGGAGATGTGATGATGATCATGATTAGTATATTTTGATGAACTTGATGTTCCGTTTTGTTGGACATTATTTACCCTATGAGAGGTTTGAGCCTTATTTTGTTCTTAAGAGATATTGGTCGAATTCGTGTTGATCAGAACTTGCTTTGAGTTTATTTTGAAATGAATTGATTAAAGTAGTGTATTGTGAAAATGATTGAGGCATTTTTTGACATTGCTCGTTTAGCCTTTTTCATTGACCCTTGAGATTATATTTCCATTAGTAGCCCGTTGAGCCTTAAAGATGTATTTCTTGTCAACCAATTTGATTTAATTATTTGAAGATTTGACAAAGAATTTGTTATGATGTCCGAGCTCTTAATATGTGTTGGAAAAGGTTGAGAACTTGTTTGAGTTGCATATTGAGTAAAAAAAAAATAAAAAAAAAAATAGGGACTCGCAAGACGAACGGAATGGATTCTACTCCGCTTACATGTGGAATTTTTCACGAGTAATGAGTATTGGAAAACTACTCTAGGAAACTTGGATGACCTCCAATGTTTAAACCTAGAGAATGTTGTCCTTACGTCTCGGTTTTGTTAGGAAAAAGCAAACTCCCTAAATAAAAAAAAAAAAGTAAAAAAAAAAGAAGAAAAGTCGAGTACTTGAATTGCAATTCAGCTTGAGCAGATGTGAATGTTGCATGGAGTTTTGATGGGAATGATTGATGTTGTGCTGATTATGGATAGGTGGTGAGATATCCGAGTAGTTAATATGTTCGAGGATGTGATTGTTTATTTGAGCCATTCTTTCCTTATATTTTTCCTTCCCTGAGGCCTGCACTGCAACCCGAAAGTCCTCTTGATTTACAGTTCATGATCTTTGGTTGTTTTAGAGTATGAATAGACGATAAGCAAGCTTATGTGATGCATTATGTTCGACCAATTTGAGCGTCCCTATCTTATATTCATGAAAGAAACCGAGTGAGGCATATACATATTATATTTTCGTGCTTGAGAGTTTGTCTTTTCAAGATGTGCATTCGAGTGTAATTGAGATATGCATGATTGGTCATTGGAAGTCTCCTCAGCTAAGTTGATTAATTTGAGGCTTGTCTTATTTGAAACTGTTATCCATGCTCGCTTGTTTCCGTTTCTTTTCTTTTGTTCGGGACGAACAAAGGTCTTAGTGTTGGGGAGTTGTTTGTCCCATTCTTGTTGCATTTTTCGCTATTATTTTCTCATTCTTTTTCCCCCATTTTGAGTCTTTTCGTTAGTTTTTATTTGTTTTTGTAGTTTATTCTGTGCTTTTCTTTCTAGAGTCTTTTTGTGTTTTTTCGGTTATTTTCTGGTTATTCTCTTTGTTTTTCTGCTTTTTTCTCGTCTTTAGCGGTGTGCAGGTCGGGTGCTCGATTGAGTATAATTTGGAGGAGGATTTATTTTATGATCTTAACGTCGTAGTTGGCTTCGCACGCGAGAAAACGGATTGGGAATCAAATTCGGTTTCCACACGAACAAACTCAAAACGAAAAGTGATGCAAGTCAAGCCTAAGCTCCTCGTCCTCCGACAACCTCGACATGACACTCGGTAACCCATTTAGTCGTTCATCGAGCATGCAGCACGCCTCATGACAGCAGCTTACGCCTTTCGTGCAGGTCAGAACTTACCCGACAAGGAATTTCGCTACCTTAGGACCAACATAGTTACGGCCGCCGTTCACCAGGGCTTCGATCGCCGGCTCTCCTGTCATCAGGTCACCAACTTTCTTAACCTTCCGGCACTGGGCAGACGTCAGCCCCCATAGTGCACATCGCTAACCTTCAGAGAGAGAGAGCTGCATCATCACCTTCACCGGCGTCCGTTCACCGCCGGTCATCGCAACACCATGCGCGGGCCAACGTACTTCACCCTCTCTCCTCCCGAGC